TTTTGAAAATGGAATAAAACAATATAAACAATAAGTACCTATGTGTACATTGTTTTTTTAATTTTCCAAAATATTTTGAAATAAATAAAACTTTCGAATAAATTTTTGTCTGCATTAAATAAGTTGTGAGCGACTATATATTAAAAATCGTTCCTTCGGTCTCAATGTGGCTTGGAGTTCTAGACATTTCAACACAGCTAATATGTATATGTGCAATATGTTTATTAAGAAATATATGAAGGCTATGAAAAACATAAATTCAATTATCTCTGTAATTATAATTATTTTTATAGCTTCACATATGTGTATACAATATGTAAGTAACATAACATTAAATATTAATAAACATTTAACAACTCTAATGCTTGTATGTAATAAAATAAACCTTAGTAATCTAGTAAATGTAATCCTCATCACTCTCATAAAGAAAATTACATAAATTAATGAAGATAATTAAATATTTTTAAATGTGATTAAATAATTTAAAACAACAAAAAACTTTTTAATCGCCCAAATTTACAGGAAAGTCTTTCTCTTTTATTGCAGATTGTGTATCATCATGAAATATCCGTAACGGTAAGCAAAGCAGAAGAGCAACAACAATTAAAATGAAAATTACAAAATTATGTCCAGCAAAATGATGTCATTAAATTGAAACATTATGTTAAATGAGCAAAATTACTTTATTGTTAACACACGCATAGACCCGACCTCTCGCATAAACGACAACTCACAACTCGCACACATACGAGCATAACAATGTGTATGAGAACTAAAAAAACAACAAACAACAAAACAAAAAACAGAAGCGAATTTTTAATGAGCGATAATGAAAGCGCAATAATTGTTGTTTACTCTCGTCGGGGGCTGGGACTGGGGCAGAGGATGCAAATTGGGCTGAGATATGAATGAGGTGAAATGATACTGCTTGACATATTCAAAAATATCAATGATGATATTCAAGTACAATAATTGTTGTTGTTGTTTGCTCATAAATAATATTTTTGAAAGTGGTGGTCTTATTGACTGTGCATTGTATACTACACTATGAAATAGAAGAAGAAGATGAAGAATTATGGCATTTAAGAGTTTTATTTGGTTTTCTGTTTGACATATAACAGATTAATTGATTATTGTTTAATCTAGTCTCTTAGTGTTTTGTATTAAAAAGTTTTATTAATCAAGGAGAAGTTTTTGGGACTAAAGCTATACTTGTGATCGTTATGTTATTCTTTTTCACTGTTTTTAATTACTATGGTTAATTAATATGGTTTGCTTTATTTTGTATCGGAAATCAGAACGTGTCCATGAAATTATAGAAAAGATTCTTAATTACCGATGTGTGGGCAATCCCAATGTCTTCAAAGAACAAATAATCTACTACAATTACATTTGACGTGAGTACTTTCATTTCAATCAGTTTTAATCAGTTATTTATTATCATGTATGTTGGACTCCTAAAATTTTACAAGAGGACTGTTCTTGAATAAAAAATGAAAAATTTCATAGTTATTCTCTCTTTATTACTGTTTTAATCCACCTAGCTTTCTTTTCACATTCGACAAAAAAAATTTTCTTTAAAATGAAATATATTTTCTTGGCATAAAAATAAAAAAATTATATATTTTTTTAAGGGACTATCTAACTAATTTATAAAATATTGCTTGACTCTATATAATTAAAAAAGCTTTAAAATGTTATTATTTATATATATCACATAATTTATATATCATTTATATAAATCAAAATCAGTCTCACATAGTCAAAGTTTAAATAAATAATTATTACTCCACAGTGCCTAAAGTAGCGTTTAAAAGGATACATAAACCCATTGCTGTGTAAGCACAGAAGTTTTGATATATGGTCAAGTCCTTTTATTATGGGCTACAAAATATAAAATAAACAAAAATTTATATAAAAACGAAGTGTGTACTGTTGTCCTTTGTATCGCTTGATTGTTTTTATGTATAATTGCCCACACGTTGCCATTATGAATCCTGGCAAACGTGCTCATCACGCTGATAAATAGGTTGCGTGTCCTCACAATTTTTGTTATGTGGCACAACATTGACACGCCCTCTTTTATACCGATGGGTACTGTTTTGTTACTTTTCACTGGAATTGCATGTGCTTACACTTAAGTTGACCATTTCGTACCTTTTTTTTTTAATTAATTAAAATATGTCGTGATAAAGCAAAAGTTTTTATATTTGCCACATTTTCACTTTTGTTTTTTTTTTCCTATGTAAGCCACAGGACTTTTTTTAAAGGACATTATAAGTCCTACTATGAATTAAAATGTTAATAGTTTTACCATAAATGTGTTAAGCTATCAAAAAGATATAAGTATAAGAATATTATGAGATGGTAATATGGCACAGAATATGAATATTAGTCGCCTATAAATATTTTCTGAACTATTTACATGGTTTTTTTTAAATATGTGTTCAGTGTTTTAAATTGAAACTAAAGAAATATATTTTCTGAAATATTTAAATGTTTTTTTTTAAAAATATTAAATTTTAGTGTTATAAATTCAATGTCAAAAAATATATTTTTTGAAATATATATATGTTTAAAAATATTTAAATAATATATGATTTTAGTGCTATAAGTTAAATCCAAAGAAACTTAGGATAGGTATTGGATATTATATATGTTTGTGTATATATATGTTTGTGTGTGAAAAAATACATATCTTAACAGTCGAAAAACATATTTTCGCGTATGTTTTTTGTGTTTAACACATTGTAAATCTGAACGACCACAAAGAATTAAACTCAAAATCTCTTCCTTTTCGGGACACTCCAACATTTTTTCATATAAGACAGACCTAACTTGTTTGGATTATAATATAGATTATAGATATTTTATCAGGTAAACAACGAAAAACCTTAACGGTACATCCTGAAAGAGGACGCCTGTTTCTAGTCGAAGGTTTTATGTCGAATTAAAATCATATTATTTGGTAATCGTAAGAAAGTGACAAAGAAATATTTCATTAAATGTTATTTATTTAAAAATTCATGTAAAATAATTAATCAACCCCGTGCTTATTCAGTACATTAAAACTGATTATACATAAATAAATCTTAAATAAATAATTAATGTTAATATCTTAATTGAAATAATATTTTTTTATACATTTTGTTTTTTTATACTAAATTAAATTAAATTTCAAATTAATGACATTTTAGTAACTTAATTAAAATCTAATTTTTTTTATTATTACTCTTATTTTTTAAACTCCATATAATATCATTTTTAATTTTCAACGATATTTCTAGTTAATCCCTTAAAAATCCCCTTAAGCGTATTCAACTTTAATACCAGGTATAAACCAGAAATAATATTTTGTAATACAGAAAATGAAAAATTAACTTTTATTGAAAACATTAAAAAATCAGTCATCATAAATCCTTTTCCTCGGCAGGATGGCGTGCTAAACCTACTCCAATTAGCGTGCAAGAAATGTGAAATAATTTGTTTTAATTTATTTGAAAGGTTGGGCACCCGGGCATGTGTTCAGCATTCATAAATTTTAAACAATAATATTTACGCTGAGGTAGGTAAGAAACTTGACACGCAAAAGCCTTTAGCAATTACAAAAAAATTAAAAATATTAAAAAAAAATTATTATTTTATAATTAAGTAATAGTTTAAAGCTTAATTTGCTGAAAAAATTTTTAATAACTTTAAACTTATTAATATTAATTAAAACATTTAACATAAATAAACGATTTTTAATTTGGGTTGAATTTAATTATTAATTTGAAATATATATTTTTTTTATATGTTATTAAAATTCATTAATAAATTGAGTTTCACTTATAAAGAATTAATCAGTGTTGAAGTTTGGAGGAAATTACATCTGTGATTTCTCACATCATTGTTCATATTAAACGAAAATAAATTCATATGAGAGTAGAACTGTCTATAATTGTATTATTGTCTATTATTGTATTATTGTTATAGTATACGTATGACTTTTTTGATTTCAATGTCAAGAAATAAGCTTTTTAATACTCATATAATTTTAGTTTAAACTTAGTTTAAATAACCATTAAACTATTTAACACAATTTACTAAATTTAAATTAAACTTAGTTGGAACAATCTTTTCCGAAATTAGGCAATGAAACTAAAGAAATTAGGCGCGACCTAAAGACCGACAAAATGTAAGCATGTTATTCATTAACTGTGAAATTCTTATTACCAGCAAAAATTATATTCAATAATTCCATTGTTTTTCTAAACCTTGTTTTAATCCAGCATAGTTGTTTTGATACGTTTAGCTATTTGTCTTAAGCTGCAAGTCGGATTTGATTACATTTAAGCCTTAAGTTTCTAAATTTTGGGAGGAAATTTCATTGTTGCAGGAGAGTACAATGCAAAGCACACTTTTTGGGGCTCTCGGTTCTGCAATCCTAAAGGCTAAAAATATTTCAACGTAATAACAAACAAGGGAAAGGTCGGCACAAAAGATCAATCTGGTCGCAGTGCTCTGCTCCAGTGGGAGCTAGTACCCTGTTTTTTTTTTTTTAACAAACAAGGGAAACAAACTAGATGTCGCATCACCCGAGCATCCTACATATTGGCCATCAGACAACAACAAAATCCCAGATCCTATTGATTTCGCTGTCACAAAGGGAATTCGTCGTGACTCTATTTCGGTGCCCACAAGTTATGAATTATCATCGAATCACTCTTCAATCTTCCTGATAGTTCATGAAGAACTCAAAACACCAATTCGCTGAAATTTAAGAAATACATAAGTACTCATGTTCATACCAATTACAAAATTTAAAACAAATATCAGGTAGATGATACCGTACAAGTATTCAACTTAATTCTCTCCTCAGCTGCTGAAAATTCTACACCAAAGAATTCGCCTTCTCTGGTAATAGAGCAGCATTTAAGCAACAGTAAAATCGAAAAACTCCTAACGGAAAATATACAGCTGCATCGATGGCAATGGCAACAAAATAGATCTATTTGGCAATGGCCGAATCTAAATTAAAAGAAGCCGTAAATCGACTAAAAAGCGCTTTTGCAGGAGGCAAAGAAAACAAGCAATACGAATATATTAAAAAGCTGTCCCCAAACACGGCTAACAAAGGATCACTCTGGAAAGCTCATCAAACTATAAAAACACCTGTTGAAGCAGTGCCTCCTTTAAGAAACTCCAGCGGTAAATGGGCTCGCAGTGAAGATGAAAAAGCTAATGTATTTGGTAAACATCGGAGTCAAATTTTACCATCAAAGAAAAGCTTGTCTGCAAAAAAGCACCTGAATACTATTCTATAACTCGAATTATATTAAAAAATCTGTCCCTCGTATCAGCAATATCAAAGATTTTTAACGCCATAATAAAATTTAGACATATCCCGACCGAATGGAAAAAGGATTAATTATAATGTTTCAAAAGTCCAGAAAAGATACAACACTAGCAGCATCATATAAACCTATAAGCTTGTCAATATGATGCGTCTGTTTGTCAAAATTGTTTGCGAAAGTGTTCCTAGCAAAACTTATGCCTTTTCTCCAAGAACGAGACTTGATACCAAGCCATCAATTTTGATTTCGTCAAAAACATGGTACTATCGAACAAGTGAACTGAATAACTAACGAAATAAGAACCGCTTTTGAAAATCGAGAATATTGCTTTGGTGTCTTTTTAGATGTTGCATAAGCGTTCGACAAAGTATGGCATGTGGGCCTGATACACAAAATACGACAATTACTACCGCAAAACTCACACGCAGTACTTCAATCATACTTGATAGACAGATAAGAACCGCTTTTGAAAATCGAGAATATTGCTTTGGTGTCTTTTTAGATGTTGCACAAGCGTTCGACAAAGTATGGCATGTGGGCCTGATACACAAAATACGACAAATACTCCCGCAAAACTCACACGCAGTACTTCAATCATACTTGATAGACAGATCTTTTAATGTAAACAAAAATTTATTTATATAGAGGAGTTGAAGGGCGCTTTATCGCTCAAATCTTACTCCCCTGATTACTGGAATTAAATTTGCACATTGCTGTGAAAATCTTTCCCATTCATTCCTAAGAGGTGGTCTTAGTGCGTTCAAGTCTCACACTGTGGCTTTCGATGCTTTCCACCTACTGCAAAAAAAAAAAAAAAGGAAAAATAGATACAATGTTGCCACCAGTTCAGATGTTACAGCAATTTAAAGTTGGTTTCATTTTAACTGAGGCACCTATAATATTGTATAATTTATCTTTTATTTATTTATTTTATTGTATAATTTATTTAATTTTATCTTTATTATTTCTAAATAAAATCTATAAATAAACTGTCAAAAGATTTCAGTATGTACAATCTAAATGGGTTTGCTAAATAAATCGTTTAATTGCAATAATTATCATTATTTACATATTTATTTACATTTATTAACAGTACAAATTTTAATTGCAGTAATTTAAATAAGTGATTATTTTCGACATGTCTGGAAGCAGGACTAATAAAATGAAAATTAATATTTTTGCTGTCCATAAAATTTAAAGTGTGTCTATGAAAGAGAATTGCCTGCAAATAAGCCGTCGGGTCAAAAAAATATCCTTAATATACTGAAGATGTAAACGCCAGACGTACTAATAAACATAAAAATAAAATTAACATTTAATGAACATAAAAGCCTATTTTATGATATTTACAAAGCAGTTTCACCAAAACAGAGCAAAGTTTCTATCAAATTCAAGTACAGCAACGAGTCGCACAGACGCATACCGAACCAAATCGACCTTATCATGGTTTAGACACAAGGCCACATTTGAATTGGCTTTTATGTAAATAACTGAAACAATTGGCACACACTGTAAAAAAGAGCAAGTCTACATGGCTGCCATATTACTCCTGTGCTAATGTCGGTATATGATCCACCAGTTCTTCCTTCCCTTTTGCCTTACCAAACAGCTTTCAACAATCTTTAAAATGTTAACTTATTTTCTTATTAACATTTATTTAGTTTTTTTCTTTTTTTGTGCTATTTTGCATTCCAGTTATAAAAATAAAATTGGCTAAAAGCAATTGACCATCACATTTTTCAAAACCTAATCTAGAACGTCAGCTGCATCGAGACTACCGCAAAGGAAGACAATGAAAATTACAAGAGAAAAAAACGGCCGAAGTGAAGACAAAAGTACCAAAGCCAAACAAAGTCAAGCGAACCTAAACAAAGCCTTCAACATGAAGTAGAATTTATGCTATAAGTCCATTTTGATTAAATTATAGAGCAATCGAATGCCTTTGTGCAGTATCGACAGCAACATGGTTAATGCAAAGTGAAATAACTAGCGCCCTTCACTCGTTTAACACAACTATCGAGATGCTTAGCCGCACCTTACGGATGTGATGCCAACATTGATGTGCTTCTGCTCAGTTGCCTGTGCTTCCACATCATCAATATTTATTTATTTTACATCTCATCACTTTGTCCATATTATTGTACCTACGCAGAGCAAGCCAAACGCTTGGCGCATTGTTCGTCCTTTTGCGTCACTTATGGGCTTTGATCTTCGATGTTGGTTGCTATTATTGTTGCTCCCGCTTCGTTTATTGATTGCTGGGCAGCGATTCTAGGAATTCTGTTTTCACTTGACGATTACACAGTTTTTGCAAGTGCTAAATATGATAAAAGGAAAATAATGTTTTCTTGTAAAAAATCATGTCCTACAAATAGATTTTACCTTTTATTTTCTGCCACTCTTGTGTTTCTTCCCACCCATTTGTAACTAATTTTAGATACTTTACTTTGTAATATCTACGAGCATGTTTAGGTCTGCGTGTATGCGATTTGTAAATGAAGGTAATTTGTGGTACATCAAGCACTATTTTTTAAACTGAGTGCTTGGATGCTTTACGGCTGACAGCATTTAAATAGCTTTTAAGTCTTTTAAATATTCAAATGACTTCATTAAAACACTATTATTAATAACCAATTAAGGATTGTTTGAAGTAATTGTTTTGTTTTTCTTGTTTTTAATTACCAACCTAAAAAAATTGTAATTAATAAGTTAACATACATCAGATAAATATTAAAGAGATGTACACGCCAGACATAAAAATGCATTTAATATTTAATGTACATAAAAGACTATTTCATAATTTTTGGACTTCAATTTTACCAAAGCAGAGTTAATTATATATTTTCCGATTGATATATTTTGAGTCTTACCTACGCTGTTAAGACCTCAACTTTTTATCCGATGCTTTGGGAGCTGAATTGTTTACGTTCTATAATTTTAACTCAGCGAAATTACCCTGCTGTCCAACGGTTAACTTTCTCGAGATCACCTATTTAGCATTCATCAAGATTTATGTCGTCATTTTGTCTATTGACTGCATTTTTCAGCTTGTGTGTTTTTATATGTCATCTTTACATTTACACTGCAGAAGCTGCTCCTATTGGGAATGCCCTCCCTGGTGATATGTGAGCTGTGATAGTGTTTTGTATTCCTCTTCGAAATGTCTTAAGCGCTGCCTTAGTTGCTGCACTTTATTTGAAATAATTTGTACATATTTCATATATAAGGCTGTTAGGAGATGATACACTAGTAGACCTTATCTCCTGTATTAAGCAATGACATATATTGATTGTTTTTAATTTATACATTTCAGTTGATATTTTCTGAATTAATTATTATAATTAATTAATTATTATTTGACTATTTCAGAATTAGTGAGAATAAAAAAATAATATTAAATTCAACTCATTCTCTGAGTATTTCAAAATTAATGAAAATAACAAACTTACTTAACATTTACCAACTCATTCGAATTTCATAATTCGTAAGAATAAAAAAATTATATTAAATTATTAACTTATTACTTTAATTACAGAATTAGTATTGTTAAGGAACTGCAACCGTCACGACGGGTCTATTGTGCCCTTTACTATTAATGAATTAAACTAATTTAATGAGGGTTATTGAGTCATTATTTGTCTGTTTTAAAATTAGGAAGACTATATCTTGTATCAAGCAATAAAATATCTGACAATATATAATAATCATTATATAAAATTTAAATTGTTTTTGTTGTCACAAATCATTCATATTAATTTATTTTTTTTCTCATTCGTATATATATAAAAACAATAAATTCTATGCTCTACAAAGGGAAATAAAATTTAATATAATTTATTATTATTAATTCAAATAATTTATATTTAAATTAAGTTATAAACATAAACATAAACAAATGAATTTAAATCAATTCGCTGGAATAATTTAATAAAATTAAACATCAATTCCTATCAATAACAAAATTTACTCAAAGAAATTAAATTGTCATTTAAAAATTTGCATAAAAAGTTAATAATTTTAAACGAAATTAAAAAACAAAAAAGTTGTTGACAAAAACTTGAGCAAAATGAAGCGAACAAATGAAGGCAATATTCCAGAAATGATTTAAGAGAAATTTATGCAAATGAGACGAAGTAGAGAAGAAGGTGCGGACAGTATGAAGAAGCAGCTGACAGCTTTATAAAAAGTTATTAAAATAACAGAGATAGTAAGTAACAGAAATTATAAACAACAGAAATTGTAAATAACAGGAATGTATTGTAAAAAACTGTAAGCTGTAATGAATGTTAAGATTTTATGTACTGATTAATTGTGTAATTATGGGCTTAAGGGAGTGATGCTGTTAACTGATGTGATGGAACAAAATGTTCAAAATAATCTGTATGAGTTCAAAGCCTCTCCTCGTCAATGACAATAACAGTAGAAGTCTAAAAACCGCTAAAATAATTCTAACAATCAATTTTGAAAATTAAAGCAAAAAATCAGGAACAAATTGCCAAACAATTGCAGTGAATAAGTTAATCGAAATTTCATTTATGACAGCCAGCGATTTAAGCAGAATGAATGATCATCTGTCAAAGTGACAGGTTAGGCAAAGGAAGCCGTGCGAGTCGTCGGCATATCAGTGACTTACGGTCACTGGCACAGAAAGCTGAACAAGTACCAACAAAAAAGAAAAAAATTAATGAAACGTTTATAATTACATTTTTTGCTACAATTTATGAAGTTTCAGAATTTTGCATTTCAGCTTGGGTTTGTGCTTTTGGCGGGCGTAAAATCACTTTTCAACTACAATTACGAAACTGTAGCTACTCACAGCGGCAATAGCAGGGGCAATAGCTGCGGCGGGTTCAAAATCAATTATAACAAATTGATTGGCGTTACGGGCA